TATCATTTACCAGGTGTAGAATTACCCAAATGGACTGGCAGATGCTCTTTTCTGCACATTCGGATTCAGTGGGATAACACTGGGATCACCACTTGTGACTCCTCTGTCCGGCAGAGAGTCACCTGAAGTGCATGCAGAAAAACTACTGGAGACATAGAGATCTGAATCAAGAGGGAGAGGGAGAGGCCATACCAGGAATGTCCCTGCTAAGCCTCTCTTGTCCTCAGTATTTGTTAGGGCAAAGGAGGAAGGAAAGTTATTTTTAGAGAAAGTTGCTTCTTAGAGAATTAGAAAGACAAGGGTAATTCCTGGAACTGGGTGGTTTCAGTATCAACAAAGAGGAGTATGGCTAAATGACTCCAGAGGCTGGAAAGAACACTTTGGAATTTGGAGAACACATTTATCAGATCACACACCCATTTAAGGGCCTCCTGTAGCTTTTTATTTATTTATTTTTTTGGAGTGGTTTTTGCTATAGGGCGCGTGCGCTCGCCAGACAGACGGAGAGAGACAGAGACACAGAAAGTGAGAAATCACCCCCCAGGGGGGATGGCCACGCCGCAATCCCTTCTCCTCCGTTCTCCTCTTGGGATCTTGGGCACGCACGCACACACGCCCGGCATGAGTTTAAGCCACTGGGTCTGGGACTCTAACCGTGGTCGACTACATGAGAGTCCAGCGACATAGCCATTATGCTAACTGCTGGTCCCCTCCTGTAGCTTTTGAACAGAAGGTGAGAGGTCAGGTGTTTTCGCCATTTTCCCTTTAGTCATTTATTCAGAGCTCATAAATCCAAGGTGTTCTAGAAGCATGGTGTTTCTGCTGTTCCCTAAAAATGTCTTTGCCATTCCCTAGGTCCCAGGTGAGCTGTCAGCTAAATGGCCAAACTGGAGTGGTGGGGACAGAAGCAAGATCAGATGGGTAGAGATAAGATGCCTATTCCTCATCTCTAACTCCATCTCCATAGTAGATAGAGACACACTTGTCCCATCAGCAGTATGAATTTCTCAGCCAAGATACAGTTAAGAGGCTTTTGTAGGATTCCCTTCCCTGTCTCTTCCCTGGGTTTATTCCACATTAAAACAAACACTGAAGGTCAAAAGTGCCAATATCCGAGAAGCCTATGGAGAAGCTTCTTTGAACTGATAAAAATGAATTGCTCAGACTTTACTTGAGAGAACAACTTTAGGGTGCAAAGAAGAACATGCAGCCATAAGGTTTGAGAATGACTGTGTGTCACCACTCTCTTCCTCTGTCTTACTGTTTTACTCTGAATGGTGTGGGAAGGTGGAGTTTGGGCACTATGACACTGTATTTCCCGTGTTACTTAGAAAGGTTCTTGTAATCAGTCTAATTCTTTTAGTAGAGGAAGATCTTTCTTTGAGTTAATCTAATCTAATCTGAATCTTTCCTCCTGTCTTCCAGCCAATTTTTAAAATATTTTTTCAAACTCAAGAACTTTCTGCTTCAAACATCCTTAGTTCAATCCCCAAGATCTCTATATATTTTAAATTTAAAACAGATTACAGCATTATTGATAAGAACATGGAACAGATTTAAGAATGTAGTGGAAAGGGACTTAGGATAGATTTAAGGAATGATAAAAGGAGTCAACATAACAATCATAACAGTAGCATTTAACATGTCTTAGTCATTTACTGTGGGGAGTCTTATCTAATTGAGTCATATGTGACTGTTTTATCTATGCTATTTTTTTTTTGGAGAGTTATTTTTGCTATAGGCGTGTGCGCTCACCAGACAGACTGAGAGACAGAGAGACAGAAAGTGAGAAATCACCCCCCAGTGGGGATGGCCATGCCGCAATCCCTTCTCCTCCATTCTCCTCTCGGGATCTTGGGCACACACGCACATGTGCCCGGCGTGAGTTTAAGCCACCGGGTCCGGGACTCGAACCATGGTCGACTATGTGGGAGTCCAGCGAAACAGCCATTACACTAACAGTGTGATATGCTATTTTACTTAGTTATCACACTGTTCCATGTAAAGTAGATGCACTTATTATTTGGCCACTCCAATTTGGAATGAGAAAACTGAGGCATAGGGAAGTTGAAGATCTTGTTCAAGCATTTATATGTGGCAGGATGAACATTTGAACCTAGTTTATATGTGGTAGGACAGAAATTTGAATTTAGCTAATCTGGTTTTTGAGCCTACTCTGGGTTTTGACCCTGTGCTGAAATGGGAATAAACAGGAATAAGAAAAACATAACATTATGCCATGCTTCTTTCCTACTGCGACCTCTTCCAAAATCAGGACCATCGTTTCTTTTTAAGCCATAGTCCCAAGTTATTAACAGATTCATTCCACATTTTGTAGCTATCCCGAGACAGAACACAGGTTGTCCAAATTCATCTTTTTTTCCCAAATTCATTTCTTAAACTCCTTTCCCTATGCTTTCTTCATTTTCTTTGGTGCACTTAGATGCACACGTGTTCTATGATGTTCTTCTTTGACATGGAAGAAATACTTTGTCTCTAAAGTCTCTTAGACAGGACATAATATTTGAGCTATTCTGAGTAAAATGACTCTGCGAAACCAAGATCACCCTGTGAAGGCTCAACAGAAAAAATGTGGGGAAAATCGTAATCTCATTGTGAGCTTGAGCCTGGAACCCTAACCCGGAGGTAGCAGATGGCAGGGACAAGTCTCAGTCTGCCCTTTATTCATACAGGTCTCTGCACCACCAATGCCCCAAGGGTTTTGTTGGTAACAAGGAGTGCCTGTGTGAATAGAGGCAGAGTGAGAACACTTTTAAAAGAGGCCTGGAAACCCAGAGTCAAACAGAGCTTCAGAATCTGTGTGAGTGGCACAGGCAGCCTCTTCTGCCCAAGAAGAAAACTGCCGCCAAGTGAGGGTTGAGGCTATTAATCTGGGAGAAGAACTAGTCCTGGAATGGGATCCAGATTTTTTTCTTAATCCTCACTCTATGTTGTTTGTCCTGATTGTACGTAGGTTTCCTGATCCTAGGAAAGAGCATGTGCTAGTATAACAACACCCCTGCACTAGCGTGACCACACAGGCAACACATAGGAGCCTCAGCCCAGAGCTAGTCCTGTGTCTGGGAGCTCAGCAAGAGCAGAGATGCTACCTTACTTCTCCCTCTGCGTGTCCTTTGCTGAGCTCATGACTTGCCAAGGAAGCTGAGTTGGTGAGGTCTGGATATGGGGCAAGGAGCTGGGGAGGCAAGAGAACAGGGCAGGCAGGTGGAAGATGAGGGTGCAACTATGCCTACAGAGAACCAGATGTAGGGCTGTGGCTCAGGCTGGAGGGTATGAGGAGGGCCTTGAACTTCCTCCTTTTCCCTTTCATTTAGCCTGTGGGGAGAAATGGAAGAAGTGTGCACTCAGAATATGAGGAACATGGGAGAGCTGTTCCTGGAAATTTGCCAAGAGGAAGTATGCTGAGTGTGGTTCTTGCTTAAGACCCACCTGCTACAGATTTGCTTGCACTGTGGTTTGGGGAGAAATGTTCTCAGCCCTTGAGAGGGTTGACATTCTTTTTTCCTGTATCTGGGCCTGTCCTGGGGAAAACGGAGCCCTGGCAGGATGTTCTGAAGGTCAAGAAGAGCAGGCAGGGCTCCCAGTGTGAGCCAGGGCAAGGCCAGCCCCTGATACTTGGTAAGGCCTCATTCTTCAGAAGAAAGCTCCAGTTCCTAAACAAACAGACTCCATGTGGGAAAGCTGACTCTCTGTTATTAGTCTTTGCTTTGCCGGAGTCAGGGTGAGTGGATGTGGGAAAAGTCCCAGGAAGCAGTGTGACAGAAAGGAAAGTGCAGGAAACTTGGTAGCTTCACTAGGCCCAGAGAACCTATTCTCTGTTCACCTGGCCCAGGTTTCTCAGTCTCTAGGACCAGGTTAGGATACCAGATTTTTTTCTCTCCTGAAGTTCAAGGACATAGCTCTATGGTTCTTAGAAGGAGTATGGAAAGTTCACCTGACTTTAGATACTTTTTCCAGGCTGTTCTTAATCTACTTAAACCTAGGTTAAGTCAAATCTGCCCTCCCCTCTCCACAGCTATCATTTTAACCTGACCACTCATCACACTGTCACTGTGGCATCCAGTTCCTTCCAAGGCAGCCCATCCTTGATGCTCTTCTATGTCCTTAGGAGGCAACAGATTTTCCCAAAATGAGCTCCACAGAACACAAAGTGTCTTCCCACGGACAAAGAACACAGGAAAGGTGAGTCATAAAGTTGTCAGGGAATAGCTCTCTATACTGGTCAAAGGAGGAATTATGTTTCCCCAGCAAAATGCCTAGAGCTATAGTAGACTAGTGCTGGAGGACAGGATATCAGAAGCCACAGGCAGATGGGAAGAAGTAGACAGAGGGGAGGGCTTTAATGTTCAGTGGCGAGGGTCTGAGCTAAAATAGTAGCTACTGAAAATAACTCACGGAGCAGGAGTTTTGTCTGAGCATCTGTCAGTGAATAGAGTGAAAAATAACCATTCCAACTTTCCTCTCTTCTGGCCCACCTCTCCCTAGAGTGGAAAGACACAAAGGTTATGCTATGGTTGGAGAGATTAGACAACATGGAAGACTTCTTCTAGGATAGAGGAGTAAGTAAAAGTAGGTAAAATTATATCTGGAAGTTCCCATGTGGCTGGCTGGACTGATGAGAGGACAGTCTATGCAGAGAAAGGACTGTCAGAGGAGCATGGTCTTTTATCAAATGCGTTTTCATTCAAATCCTGGCTCTTCTATCTACCAGCTATGTGTGTAAGCTTCTCAGAAACTAAATTCTTTGATTCATCATGTGGGCATGTTAATAAATCCACAAAACTGTTTGAGAATCCATAATTCAGGATATGCCATATTCCTACCACAAAGTCTGATTCAAAGGTGGTGCTTAGCAAATGCTGTCACATCCTAAGCTCTTATGCCCACCCCCAGTGATCTAAAATCTCTGTAAAACTGGTAGTTGCTTCTCACTGGCACCATTTATGCCCTGCAGGGACAGAGCCTGATGGAATAAGGAGATGGAGCTGGATTCAGCACTGCGTACACTCAATCAGAGTATGCTGTTCTCTGGGCCTGGGCCCTTTGTTCTGCTGGGAGTGCCAGGATTAGAAGCCTTGCATGCCTGGATTTCTGTGCCTGTGTGTGTGCTGTATGTGGCAGCCTTGTCAGGAAATGCCCTTCTATTAGGGCTGGTGGTAGCTGACAAGGCATTTCGAACACCTATGTACCAACTTTTGGGGCTTTTGGCAGCTACCGACTTGATTCTGGCCACGTCCACTGTGCCCAAAGCTCTGGCTGTGCTCTGGGGCTTGTCAGGTGAGATCTCTTTTGGGGCCTGCTTAACTCAGCTCTTCGTCGCCCATGTTGCCTTCATTGCTGAGTCCACAGTGCTGCTGGCCATGGCTATGGACCGCTATGTGGCCATTTGCCAGCCTCTGCGCTATGGGGCATTGCTAACCCAGCGTGTGGTAGGTACAGTGGCTGTGGCTGCTGTGGCCCGTGGTGCCTGTGTCATGACACCCCCTGTGGTCCTGCTCCAGAGACTGCCTTACTGTGGGCAGCGGGTTCTGCCCCACACCTACTGTGAGCACATGGGTGTGGCTCGGTTGGCATGTGGGGACACACGTCCCAACGTCTGGTATGGACTGGCCACTACACTGCTTTCCCCAGTCCTGGATTTAGGGCTCATCGGTGCTTCCTATGCCCTCATCCTCCATGCTGTCTGCCATCTGCCATCCCATGGAGCCCGCAGCAAGGCCCTGAGTACCTGTGGAGCACATGCCAGTGTCATTGCTCTCTTCTACACACCTGCCCTCTTCTCTTTCCTGGCTCATCGTTTTGGTCGCTACACGGTGCCCAGCCACATCCATATCCTACTGGCTAACCTCTACATGGTGGTTCCCCCAGCCCTCAATCCTGTGGTCTATGGAGTACGGACCCAGCAGATTGCTCAGAGGCTCAGGCACTTGCTTCATCTCTGCTGGACAGGGTCAATGAGGAAGGTGAGCCCTGAGATGGCCTCACCACAGGAATAAATGTGCTTCCTATTTTCTCTATTATATACCTCAAATGGCCAAATGCTGAAGGACCCACCTGGATAGAGTTCTAATCATGGGATCTCCACTGTCTACCCCAATGTGCCCCTATGCTTATCCCCAGCCCTGCTCACCCCAGGTAGGCAGAGTTAACTGAATTTATTTCTCCCAACCTGGTTCTACCAAGCTCAGTCTATTCTTGCTATTTCAAACTCTGTGTTGATCTCCTTACATGGATCATGTGCATATAGAAAGGATTAGTCTAGAGAATGATAACCAGAGAAGCCTGGAACACAACCTGGGGGACCAGGATACTGGCTCAGGCTTTCTCTGCCTGGCCAGAAGCTTAGTGAAAGGTGGCTCCGAGTTACATTAAGCAGAAGCTCCACATTCGCTGAAGGGATTCATGCAAAATCAACTGAAGGGATAATGACCAGAACTGCTGAGGAAATGGTGCAATGTGAATAAAACAGAAGGCATCTCTGGAAATGGACAAAATCCTGACCTGGAGCTTGGAAGACTTTTTGGCTTTGATGGGAAGGGAGTGAACAACATTACAGCTGCCTCCTTAAGCAGTTTCCCTACTTCAATCAGATACTGAAGCTGTGGGAAAATGACTCTGGCACCATTTTTCATGCTTCATTTTTCTCTGTTTCTTCACCCTTTCTTCCCTCCAACCCTGCTTCTCTTAAAAGATGTCACAGTTCTAGGGATGCCCACCTAAATGGATCACAGGCATGTTTTCTACTTCATGCAGTTTAGGCTTCCCCACTCATCCTTTTTCTATCTTCTTAACCTCTGTTTTCCTCTAGATCCCATAGTTCCAGTAAGGAGGATTTGATGAACAATGGACCTGTGGTCTTAGGCCAGGAGGGTAAGAAGCTGCAGAGCAAGATTCTCAGCAAGGATTGCCCAAAGAAGTCCTGGGCACGTCTTCCTGGAATTATATATTATACATTCACCTAAGCTCTCAAATCCAGAAGGGGACTTAGGGGCTTCCCTTCCCATGCCTTTGTCTTCTAGATATATGCTGAGGAAAGGATTTCAAAGGATGAGATGAGCAAGCAGAGGTTTTTGCTATAGGGCACGTGCGCTCACCAGAAAGACAGAGAACCAGAAAATGAGAAATCACTCCCTGCCCCCCAGTGCGGATGGCCACACTGCGATCCCTTCTCCTCCATTATTTTCTCAGGACCTTGGGCACACACGCACACATACCCATCATGAGTTCAAGTCACAGGATCTGGGACTCAAACTGTGGTCAACTACATGGGACTCCAGCGACATAGCCATTACGACATCTGCTGGTCCCAAGCAGAGCAGTTTTATGGTAAATGGACACAATATCTGAAGTTGAGGGTGTTTTGAGAACTAAGGAAGCAATGAAGGCTACAAATAACAATATTCTTAATAGAAAAATGGCTGATACACTCTTCGTAAGAAATCTGACATTGTTTTAGGCCCTTAGGTGTCTGCAAAGCACCGCAAAGAAATGACGGGAAGAGAATATTTTAGGGTGGCCAGGACCAAGAACACTGAGCTGTGACTCCTTCTCCAAGCCTCAAGCATCAAATTCTTCCTTTTCTGCAGGAATTCAGAGAGACTAGGGGATTTGAGCCCAGATCCTGTGGCAGATTAAAAAAAATATTGAGAAGAAGTTTTCTTGGACAGGCAGTGAAGGCTGATGGCATCAGGATTAGTGGACTTAGGAGAAGCATTGTCATAGCAAAGTGGGATGAAAAATTTAGGTTTCTTGGATAGTGGAGGAGGTGATTGCTAGAAGTGAGAGCAGGCATATGACAGAGTAGTCCAGTATGGTGTTGCTGAAATTATCCCCCTGGATATACATTTGGGCTTTTATCCAAGGGCATGCAGTTAAGGAAATGTCTTCTGTCCATGAGATTGAACAGGTAGAGTTGCATTTCCTTTTAGAGATTTTTCTCCCTCAAGGTTGAGGGAAAGACCATAATCCCTCCTGAAAGGAATCCATCCGAAGGCCCTCATAGGATGTCTCACATTTGCCTTAATCTGTTTGGACTGAAGGGTGCAGAAAGGTGGGGACAGATGTCATCCTAGGGATGGATGAGAAAGACTGTTTGTTGTGAGAAACTCATTTCCATCCCATCTTTGGAGGCAACAATATGTCACAACATTTTTACCCCTTCCACCTGTGTGTACCTTTTCCCACACCCTTTCATACTCTCAGCCCTTTCAGATGTCGAAATCCGTTTCCCCTCCTACTGGAACTATTCACTTGGACTATAGATAAAAGCCCAGGAGTGCTCCAAGGATTTACACTGCTCCTGCAGCTGGTGCAAGATGCAGCCTGTTCCAGCTCTTCTAACCACTTTGCTGTCGTTGCCTCTGGTGATCTCAGGACAGTCTCAGGTATGGGCAGAGGGTGGAGGTATCATAAGCAGGTAGGGGAAATGGTTTGGTGCCTTGAGCTGGATTTCTGGGAAATCAGGGTGTGGATGTTCGGAGAGTCAAGAAGAACTCCAGTGCAGAAAGACCTCTTCTCCAGAAAATCAGAGAGCTCCGTCAGCCTTTTCTCCTGACTCATGGTATCATACCCAGACATACTTCATTATGGTCAGTGTGTTTGTGGCCACCCTTTTACAGCTGCTGAGAAGTGTGTCAAGCTATGTGGACGAAGGTAACACATGCCATTGTGTGGTCCACCTGACTAACTACCTCAGCCTCCTGCAGCCGCTGGAGCAGCTACAAAATTCAGCCCAGGAGCTCATTGGCAAGTATGAGCAGGAGCTGTTCAGAGTGAGTGCTGGATCTGTGGGCTGTGACTGGGGTTTTGAAACTGCAGCCTCTACTACACCCAGAATGAAATAAGTCATGACAGTAGAGAAGGAGCTAAGGAAACAGCCTTTATCTTTGAAATTAATCTTTAGAATATAGGGGAAGCTTGGTATTATTCTTGGAATCCCTGTTGGTAACAGCGGAGAATAGAAAGACTATGTAGGCAGTACTTCCCCCTTTAATGGGTAAATTAATGAGTATGAGTTCCCTGAAAGATGTGAAGAGGGTAACTCAGGCATAGCATAGGATAATAAAAGACTTGAAAGTGAGATGACTAGTGCAAAGGAGTAAGTCTAAACTGAAGAATTAACATAGAAGCATTATGGGCAGGGACTTGTAGGCCAGGTTCAAAAGCTTAGGGTTGATCCAATAAGTAAGGATGAATGAATAGAAGCATTGCCTCTGCAATATAATTTGTTCAGTTTCTTATTATGATCTTCACTTGTGGAGCTTCTGAGAAGTTTGACGGGATGTGGCCAGACTAAAAGCTGGGAGTCTATTTATTCATTCATGCACTTGGCCGCTTCCTAAGGAATGTCTTCTAAAAGAAAAGGAAAAGATAATATAGGTGGTATGAAGTTAAGAATTTTCTTTCTGCAGTGAAAAGAAGGATATAAGTGTCCTCAGTTGTGAAATGAGAATAACACTAATGCCCACCTCTAGGATGGTCAATAGAAATAAAAAAAGATGACAACTATGAGAGTGCTTTGTAATCTGTATGGCCCTGGGAAAATGAGAATGACTGGGAAGAGCCACAAATGTTGACAATTGAGGGAATTGCCTGTCACCTTACGCCCAGGTCAGTAAGTCTGTATATACCAACGAAGATCAAGACAACCAGATTCTGGACGTACGCCATAGAACGGAGCCCAGGAATCCCAGTACCCTTATCTTCCCCTATAACACCTCAACCTTCAACCTGCTGCACCTGGAGCTGGAGAAAGCACAGAAGTTGGTGACTCAGCTTAAGGACAAGAAAGGGGTTGATGGGGCTGAGGGTCTTCTCCACCAGCTCCAGAGTCAGGTATGTGGATAGGTCAAAGAACTCCCTCCCCTTCACAGCCTGCTATCTTAGCTAATCTTGCATATTTGAAAATTCCCCAAATCATTTTTTTTTTAGAGGAAGAAGACCCTGGGCTGAGAAATATGAGAATCTGAGTTCAGTTTTTTAGGACACTCTGTGACCCACATATCTGACATTGCTTTTCTTTAGGTGATGAATGCCAGTCTCATACTCAAGCTCCTGACAGAGTCTGATCCATGCAACTTCAGTACTCTTCAACAGGAGGTGGATGTTCTTGAGGGCCAACTAAGCAAGTGTGAGAGGGAAAGGGAACAGCAACAGGCCTCCAGATACTCTGGTCTACCCTTGCCCCCTGGTGAGTTCATGGACTGAACTTCCCGAGATCTTGTCTCCCCAGAGACTAGGTTGGGATTACAAGGTTGGTTATGTCATACTGAGGGGAGGACAGTAAAGGTATTTATGGAGAATAAATCTTTCATTTCCCATTTTGTGTCACTGAGGGATGCAGACGAAGATTGGTATATTCTCATATGTGAGTATACTCATATATACATAATCAGACATACACACCAACTTTCATTCATGCAAAATCAACTTTTTTATATATGTGTATGCACTCATGCGCATGAACATACATTCAGATTCACACACGCTTATTATTCTTTTGCACTCTGCTCTCTATGGATTGTGTGCATTGCACCTAGCTCTTACCTTGCCGGCTCTTTCCTCTAGGTTCTTGTGCTCATAAAGGACTCCTGGCAGTCAGCAGGCCCTTTGTGGTAGGGCTTAATTGGAAAGGCTTCTCACACAAGGCAGGTTCCTGGGGTCGAGACTCAGCGCCGAATTCAACCTCTTCACTATACTGGGTAGCTCCTCTGCAAACAGATGGCAGGTAAGTCCTGGATGACTGCTCTTCTGCAGCTGGGCATATTCCCAATGTTCCTTACCCTTATTTTGACAGTTATTTTTCTAGCCATATCCCAGCTTCCCCTTCTAATTTAGCTGTGCTCCTGGGCAAACCCAGCTTAAGCCTGATAGAGCCCTCCTAATGTTCCTCTCACAATGTAAGTATGAACCAGACTGCCTTGAGCTAACTTCACAAACCCACTCTCTGAAACATTTAATCCCATAGTAATTCAAAGATGATTCTATCTCTAGTCTGATCCTTTCTCAAGGACAAACTCTTCTATACCTGGGCTTCAGAATCCTAACTTTCTGCCTAGAAAGAAGCTTAGAGGATGATTGTGGTCAAGTTTGAGACTTGGAGTCAGCCAATCTGAGTTTGAATATCAGCACTGTCAATTAAATTAAGTGACCTTGGGTAAATGAATTAACATTTTAGACCCTTTCTTAGCCATCTGTAAAATGAGGATAATTAAATGTGTGAGGGGATTATATAGATGGATGTATTAGGTGCTGATAAATTTTATTAAATGAAAGAATGGTTAAGTGAATCAATCAGTCAATAAATGAGCCCTTCAATAAATCATCAGCCTGACTAGGAAGGTAGGCACAGCTCACAGAGTATTTAGAGTCATTTTGTGGGGAAGTGTCTACAGACCCAGTTGAGTACAGGTCTTGGGAGGGAGGGTTGAAAGTGAGTTGAACCAATCACTGAAGAGTCTCAGTTGAAGTTCCCCTCAGAAAGATTAGCATTATTGGCCCAGACTCTATGGTGTAGCCAGTAGCACGTCAGACTATGGATCTAAAAGCCACATGGCAACCACAGTTTGAGTCCCCAGCCTGGTTCACCAGAAAACATGACTAGTACATATGGATATAGTCAGAATCCTGGCAAGGTCATGGCATGACTGAGCCCTGTGGAGTGCATTTGTCTTTGTCTTTCTCTCATTTATACAAATGTACCCTATAATGAATTAAAAAAAAAAAACAGGAAAAAAATCAAGAAAGATAACCATTACTGATAATAATACTCACCAATTCCTACAGACTCTTCGTAGCATGTAAATACATTGATTTGCAAACATTTGGTATTTGAATTCTCAGACAATCCTGTGGGTAAGTCAGGATTACTGCCTAATGTTAAGGGAGGAGAAAACTCATAACTCATGGATAATTTAAGGGACTTTCCAAAGTGACATGTGAGTAAAAATCTCTCTGAATCCAGTTCCAGGAAAAAGGCACTGGAGTCTAAGAAGTGTCCATAAAGAAGAAAGCAATAGCTACCCCTTGTTCATTGCTCACTTTGAGACACTCTAATGATTATTTTTTTCACAATATCTTGGTTAGTCCTGACAATCAATGAAGTAGATTGTTTTGTTATTCTTTTACAGATTTTAGTTATGAGCTGGGTAACTTTGAACAAACTACTTAATTTTTTTTAGACCTATCCTCTTAATCTGGGAGGATAAAGCATACTGTATTACAGGATTTTTTTCTTATTATTATAGTTCCATTTATACTATTATTATTAAATGTATTATAATTATAGTTACCAGTGTTTTTATTACTTTTAACAATTAGTTTGTCACCATAGTATGTGGTAAGTAAAAGAAGATGGATTAAAAATGAATTCTGTTTGATTCCAAAAGGCCTATTCTTAATCGGCACACTAACCTGCTAATTTTTAAAGCATTCTGTTGCTCTACTTAATGCTGTCACCTAATGATTTTGATGGGGGTCTTGGTCTAGGTACTTTGACTATTACCAGCTGTACAAGTCTTATAATGACCTGGTGTTGCTGAAGAACTATAAGGAGTGGTTTATGGGCTATGGCGATGGCAGTGGCAATACAGTGTATGAGAACTTCATGTACTTTAATTACTACGGCACAAGTGACATGGCCAAGGTGGACCTGTCCTCCAATACCCTAGTGCTGCAGCGCCCATTGTCTGGTGCCACCTACAATAATCGCTTTTCCTATGCTGGCGTGCCCTGGAAGGCCTTACATTTTGCTGGTGATGAGAAGGGGCTGTGGGTGCTCTATGCCACTGAGGAGAGCAAGGGCAACCTGGTTGTGAGTCGTCTCAACGCCAGCAGCCTCGAAGTGGAGGAGACCTGGCACACCAGCCAGTACAAGCCAGCTTTATCAGGGGCCTTCATGGCTTGTGGGGTGCTCTATGCCTTACGCTCACTGAACATCCACCAAGAGGAGATCTTCTATGCATTTGATACCACCACTGGGCAGGAATACCACATCAGCATCCTGTTGGACAAGGTGATGGAAACGCTGCAGGGCATCAATTACTGCCCCTCGGACCACAGACTGTATGTCTACAGTGAGGGCTTCCTAGTGTATTACGACCTCACCTTCCTGACCCCAACACGCAAACCACCAAAATCATTAGCCAAATGGCCCTTCGGGGTTCATGCTTTGTCCAAATCTGTCAAACCTATCATGCCTTCCAAGCCCTGAGACTCCAGGGCTGGGCAGGGCATTGGTAGAAGTGTGTCTTTCTTCTCTCTTCCAGGAGAACCCCCCTTCACATTAAACCCATGGGTTCTAATTGGTAGGGGACATTGATTATTATATCTAGTTAGTTCTTCATGTGATTAGTATATCAACACATTAAACTTCTCTTTAATAATGGTTTAGGTAGATTTGATTGAAACCAAAATATTATAGCTAGAGAAATGTTATATCCTCTTTCTTATATTTTGGCCTTTCATATTCCATTTGAAAACTATGAATCCAAAACTTATAAGCAAAGTGATGTGTACTGATTAAATGTATAAAACAAAATAAAATAAAAAAGAAAACTATGAATCCAGCTTGTAGAATTCCAGAGTTCTGTGACTTAGAATTGTTAATCTCAGATGGATAACATCTGATCCAGGCCAGAATGTGCAGGGAGGCTGGTCATTAGAGTGGGATACAGAAGATTCCACTCTTATTCCTATCCTCTTGTAGGGCCCCTGGGAAGAAAAGGGTTAGGATACTGGTCTGAAATTAATTCTTTTTTTTTTTTTTTTGGAGAGGTTTTTGCTATAGGGCGCGTGCGCTCGCCAGACAGACAGAGAGAGACAGAGAGATAGAAAGCGAGAAATCACCCCCCAGGGGGGTGGCCACGCCGCAATCCCTTCTCCTCCATTCTCCTCTCGGGATCTTGGGCACGCACGCACACGCTCCCAGCGTGAGTTTTAAGCCACCAGGTCTGGGACGCGAACCACGGTCGACTACGTGGGAGTCCAGCGACATAGCCATTACGCTACTTTTTTTTTTTCACATTTATTTTTTTTTTTTTTTTTTGGTCTGAAATTAATTTTTTTTTTTTTTTTTTGGAGAGGTTTTTGCTATAGGGCGCGTGCGCTCGCCAGACAGACAGAGAGAGACAGAGAGATAGAAAGCGAGAAATCACCCCCCAGGGGGGTGGCCACGCCGCAATCCCTTCTCCTCCATTCTCCTCTCGGGATCTTGGGCACGCACGCACACGCTCCCAGCGTGAGTTTTAAGCCACCAGGTCTGGGACGCGAACCACGGTCGACTACGTGGGAGTCCAGCGACATAGCCATTACGCTAACTGCTTGTCCCTGAAATTAATTCTTCACTGTCTTGGATCAATCTCACTTTTGGGTGCAGTTGAGAAAGGTGCCTAGCCTTAGTCCTCCTCTAGAAAGTTGATACATTGTAACTGAACAGTAAAACGATCTGATATGGATTGTGCTAAGAGTCACATGTTCTCAATAAAGAATCCTTGATGTGATAGCAAGAAATCTCCTGGCTAGTTGCCTTTCATCTCTTTTCTTCAACACACTAAAAATGTAGGGGCTTGAATTACGCGTTTTCTGTATCTGTCTGCATGGTGTTCTCCCCACCAGGCAGGTGGAAGAAATGGACGACTCCGGAACTGAAATCGTCCCAGTCACACAGAGGATGCATACACTTCACACATATGTACATACGTACATAAATGTACTTTTAATAAAATACATCCATCCTCACTGTTATATAGGCAATATTATCATTTACGCTCAAATATCAACAAAGACAGAAATACATATTTTTAACATATTCACTATTAAAAATTTCATCAACTTCCAAATAAAAATTAAACACCATCCTCCAAATTTGTATGGGACTGAAAATCTGACTTTTTTGTTGCCAGAACCCGTCTCCTTAGAAATTTGACTATGAATTGCCTTTATTTACCTCTTCATGTATAGAAATCTCTGTCCCTTAGTGCTTTGACTCAAAGGTGAGTGCTTAAGACTGTAAATAAACATTGAAACAAATCATTCTAAAAATTCTGTCATAATGACATATAGAAAAGACTAAACAATATATGAATAAAAAGAGTGTCTCAAGGAATAGCTTATTCACCTTTAGTTTGGGATGCACCTACAGGGAGCTTCCTTGGCTATCCCTGCTCCTGTTTCCTAGAGCAGAGGAAATCTCTCCCCACCTTCCCACCACCACATGGGAGCACTCTCAGTTACAGATTCCAAAATCAAACCAGTAGGCAGGGTAGAGGTTAAGGTGCTGGATTCTGCATGGTTGACTCCATGGTTTTAGTACCGGACCCATCAGTTTGCGAATCACACCGGGTGCATACGCATACATGCCCAATCCTGAGAGCGGACTGGAGGAAAAAAAGTTGTGGTGTGATTATTCTCTGGGGGTGGGGAGTGGTGGTGATTTCTCACTCCTACCCACCTCTGGCAAGTGCATGTACCCTATAGCATAAAACTAAAACTAAATCCTGAAATCTAGACCCAGAGAAAAACATGAACTTCACACCCACATGCAACCTTAATTCTTCCTGCATTTTTCTTCCTAAGGTTTATGTTTTCCCTATCATTAATAAAATCAATGAACTCCTTCCTATGGAGGAGACTCCAGTCTTACTGATGGGGATGTGGTTTTATCTATGGCTTTAATAGACCTAAGTTATTATACAAGAAGGTGTAGTTCCTATAAGTAACCTATACCCAGCACCACACAGAAACATATATTCCATATATAAAATTTTACTAGATTAATACTCAGAATGTTGTCATCATTTTTATGAAAGACTGGTTTATTTTATTATACAAATGTGGACTTCCCCAAATATGTCCTTTTTCCTCAGACAGTCCTGACAGACTATGAGGCTAGAGTTGACATCACAATATCCTTTTGAAGATGCCATGCCCTTGGTGGGTGGGGCAGGAGGGGCAGCCCTAGGAGGAGTAATCACCATTCAGTCCACCGTGAGCCAAGTATGAATCAGTAGCCACACCAGGCCTCACCTGGGCCACATCTGGAGACCAGGGGTGAGGGTACAACAATGCAAAATAACTGGTCCTAGCCTGGTTACTCATCTCTTTTAAGGCAACAAAGAAACTAGACTGTGGTCTGAGAACACAATATCTGAGACAAAGATCAACAGAAACCTTCATCCTCACCCCTTCTGCCCCTGCTTCTACCTGCTCTACTTCTGCCTATGCTCTAAGATCCATGCCGCATGTCATCACTCGAACATCCAGGATGCCCCAGTCTGGACGTCCTTCAGGTCTGCCTGCAGACAACAGCATCTCTTCAAGTATCACACGAGTGATAGTGAAGACACCAGGCAATCAGAAAGACTTTATGGTAGCTGATGACATCTCAGTGAGGCAGTTCAAGGAGAAGCTATCAGCTCACTTCAAATGCCAAATGGACCAACTAGTGCTGGTCTTCATGGGCCGCCTTCTAAAAGACCACGACACGTTGAGTCAGAGGGGCATCATGGATGGCCACACCATCTACCTGGTCATCAAGTCCAATCGTGGCTCCAGATCCTTAGCCCATTCATCTCAGAACCTGACAACCAATGAGTCCTACCACCAGGACAGAAATACCAAAGGAAACTGCAGTGGAGTGCGCCAACCTGCTGGTGTGAGTCAAGTTCCTGCAGAATCAGCTCCCTTTGTAGAGTCTGATGTACCCAAGGTGCATACTCAGGACCTGGAAGTAGGCACTCTAGAGCACATAGCACAGATGCTGGAGAATCCTACCATCCAGCGACTTCTATCCAACATGGAATTCATGCGACAGTTCATCTCAGAACATCCAGACATGCAGCAACTGATGCAGCAGAACCCAGAGGTCTCACACCTCCTCGACAATTCTGACATCCTATGGCAGACTCTGGAGCTGGCCAGGAACCTTGCCATGATCCAAGAGATAATGCACATCCAGCAATCAGCACAGAACCTTGAGCATCCACTAAACTCCCAGTCATATCTGGGCTTAGAGACAACCCCAGGTGGGAACAATGTCCTGGGTCAGAGGTATGCTGATTTAAACCAAATGCTCAGCAGCATACAAGATCCCCTTGGGGACAACCCTTTCACAGCTCTTTTGGCAGGACAAATGACAGAAGAAGTCCAGTCCTCACCTCCACCTCCACCACTATCCCAGGAATGGCAGGACCAGCTTCCACAGCTCCCTACAACTCGAGTCATCTATTCTAGCTCTTGTGGTTTGTCCTCAATCACCTCAGCCAATGCCATACCTAACAGTCTCAACCATACTTCCAGGGCTGATACTGCCAATATCTCCACTAAGGGCCAGAGTCATATCTGTGCCATTCACCAGTCAGCTGGGATACCAGCTTTACCTAGCATGCAGCTCACCCAGAACACCCAGGAAGAAGACAATGATGGCACCATCTCTCTAGCAAGCTCTGACCAGAGATTGGAAGATGATCTCCAGCTTTCAGACGAACAGACCAGCTCCCAGGTCACAGGAGGCATGATGCAGTTGCTAATGAACAACCCTTACCTGGCAGCTCAGATGATGTTGTTCATGAGTATGCCCCAGCTGGGTGAACAGTGGAGGCAGCAATTGCCCACATTCCTGCAGCAGACACAGCTTTCTGACCTGCTTGTAGCTCTAGGCAACCCTAAAACATCACAAGCAATCTTGCAAATTGAGCAGGGTCTCCAGCTTTTGGCCACAGAGGCTCCTGTTCTTTTGCCCTGGGTTGCACCATACCTTTGGGGCTTGGGTTGGCTTCCTACCCCAAGTAGTAGCTACCCTGATACAGTGTCCTGGGCCTGGAATATGCCAGAAATGACTGAACCCAAAGGGACTGAGTGCTGCCATAATTCTGGAGCAGTTCTGCAGAGTCTACAATCCCTCGCTGGAGACACTTCTAACCCTCTACAAGCTCCTGAGATTCGTTTCAGCAAGCAGATGGAATCTCTCCAGGCTATGGGATTTGGGAACCATGATGCCAATCTACAGGCACTCATTGCTACTGAGGGAGACACCAATGCTGCTATCCGTAAGCTTAAGAGATCCCAGGGTTTCTGACCACCACGTCTACCTGTTTTCTTGCTACCTGCCTGCTGACCCATTTGAACACCTCATCTCCATTCCCTGCCTCCCCTGATGCTTTCAGACAAAGGTCCTGGAGTGGAAGAAACAAACCAATGTTTTCTCTACTGCATAATGGACCATTGGCCAAGGCTGGAAGATCTGTCAATAAAATGGCTACACTCACTTGTCCACATCTGAGGTTTGGCTGTTCCTTTTGCAAAAAGGCAACTCATTGTGCATGATAGATAGTCTTGTCTCACCCACCACACATACATGAACATACACAAACACACCAGAAAAACCTTTTACTATAGAGATTAAAAGGTCACAGTTGCACATACTATGCTTAAATAGCCAAGAACACTTATATGTTGCCTCAGGTGTGCACACACATAGAAGGTCATATATCCATAGATTCACATGTTTACACACACAGAGTCAACACATGGGTATACATATCCATGTGCATACACAGATACACACACATGCCTGGAGGACATAAACAGATCCACATGTAGAGAAAGGTGATAGTAGCATTCCTATTCAAAGGGAAATACATTACTTAGGTAGAACTGTATACTTAGTTATAAGTGAAATGGGTTTCTCAAACCCAGATTGTTAAAGTTTATGGTGGAAGGATAACCTGGTGGAACAGGGTAGAAGTAATCCACCAGTCAACCAAGAAGACCCTAAAAACGCTTTTTATAATCAGAACCTGTCACTAATTGCCATTGCCATAACTACAGAACTTTGATAGGCTATTACTACTCTCTCTTTACTAAACAGAGAGACAGCCTCTAACTGCATATTTCAGTCATCAAAAGAAACCCTCCATGGAGCACAGAATCTTCTAAGAATGTTACACATTTCATCATATTTTGTTTGTAGCTTTGGTTTTCTTTCTTTCTTTCTTGTTTTCGGAAAGGTTTTTGCTATAGGGCACGTGTACTCACCAGAAAGACAGAGACAGAGAGACTGAAAGTGAGAAATCATGTACTGGGGGGATGGCCATGTTGCACTCCCTTCTCCTTCATTTTCCTCTCGGGATCTTGGGCACACATGCACATGCCCCTGGTGTGAGTTTAAGCCACTGGGTTTGGGACTCAAATTGCAGTCCAGGGTCTCCAGCTTTTGGCCACAGAGGCTCCTGTTCTTTTGCCCTGGGTTGCACCATACCTTTGGGGCTTGGGTTGGCTTCCTACCCCAAGTAGTAGCTACCCTGATACAGTGTCCTGGGCCTGGAATATGCCAGAAATGACTGAACCCAAAGGGACTGAGTGCTGCCATAATTCTGGAGCAGTTCTGCAGAGTCTACAATCCCTCGCTGGAGACACTTCTAACCCTCTACAAGCTCCTGAGATTCGTTTCAGCAAGCAGATGGAATCTCTCCAGGCTATGGGATTTGGGAACCATGATGCCAATCTACAGGCACTCATTGCTACTGAGGGAGACACCAATGCTGCTATCCGTAAGCTTAAGAGATCCCAGGGTTTCTGACCACCACGTCTACCTGTTTTCTTGCTACCTGCCTGCTGACCCATTTGAACACCTCATCTCCATTCCCTGCCTCCCCTGATGCTTTCAGACAAAGGTCCTGGAGTGGAAGAAACAAACCAATGTTTTCTCTACTGCATAATGGACCATTGGCCAAGGCTGGAAGATCTGTCAATAAAATGGCTACACTCACTTGTCCACATCTGAGGTTTGGCTGTTCCTTTTGCAAAAAGGCAACTCATTGTGCATGATAGATAGTCTTGTCTCACCCACCACACATACATGAACATACACAAACACACCAGAAAAACCTTTTACTATAGAGATTAAAAGGTCACAGTTGCACATACTATGCTTAAATAGCCAAGAACACTTATATGTTGCCTCAGGTGTGCACACACATAGAAGGTCATATATCCATAGATTCACATGTTTACACACACAGAGTCAACACATGGGTATACATATCCATGTGCATACACAGATACACACACATGCCTGGAGGACATAAACAGATCCACATGTAGAGAAAGGTGATAGTAGCATTCCTATTCAAAGGGAAATACATTACTTAGGTAGAACTGTATACTTAGTTATAAGTGAAATGGGTTTCTCAAACCCAGATTGTTAAAGTTTATGGTGGAAGGATAACCTGGTGGAACAGGGTAGAAGTAATCCACCAGTCAACCAAGAAGACCCTAAAAACGCTTTTTATAATCAGAACCTGTCACTAATTGCCATTGCCATAACTACAGAACTTTGATAGGCTATTACTACTCTCTCTTTACTAAACAGAGAGACAGCCTCTAACTGCATATTTCAGTCATCAAAAGAAACCCTCCATGGAGCACAGAATCTTCTAAGAATGTTACACATTTCATCATATTTTGTTTGTAGCTTTGGTTTTCTTTCTTTCTTTCTTGTTTTCGGAAAGGTTTTTGCTATAGGGCACGTGTACTCACCAGAAAGACAGAGACAGAGAGACTGAAAGTGAGAAATCATGTACTGGGGGGATGGCCATGTTGCACTCCCTTCTCCTTCATTTTCCTCTCGGGATCTTGGGCACACATGCACATGCCCCTGGTGTGAGTTTAAGCCACTGGGTTTGGGACTCAAATTGCAGTCGGCTATGTGAGAGTCCAGCAACATAGCCATTATGCCATCTGCTGGTCCTATAGCTTTGGTTTTCTACAGTTGCCAAGGTCCTATCTTCTGTCTGCCTCACCCAGAGTATCTCTACCTAGCAGGATGAGCAATTGATTGTGGCTTAATTATTAAATTATTTAATAAGTGCTTGGCAGAATTTGATGTCATTGAAAACATAGCAGTGAAAAACAAAGGTCCATTATTTGTGGAGTTCACTTTCATTTGTGGATGTACAGATGTATTCCAATTAATCACAGATATGCTAGTTGGTAAGTACTATGAAGAAAAATAAATTGGGATAAGCTATTGTAAATAAGGTGATCAGGAAAAGCCTGTCTGAGAAGGTGATATCTGGACAGAAATCAGTACAATATGGGAAAGCTAAATATGTAATTCCCTGGGAGAAGGATGATTCAGGAAGAGAAGGCTGCATAAATAAAAGCCCCAAGGGGAGGTATTCTGTTATATTTGAATAGTAACAAGAAGGTGATGCAGCTGAAATGGAGTGAACAAAAAGTGGGGTTTAGGAAGAAATAGGACCGTGAAGATCTTTGTAGGGCTGGTGAGGACTTTGAAGTTGCCTATGAAATAAAGTCATTGGTGGGTTTTGAGCAAAGGAATGGGATAATTCAGTTGATCAACCTGGCTGCTGAGTGGAGAACAGACTGTGTAGAAGGATACTAGGAAAGCTGTGAAGTTGGTTAGAAGGTCAGAGAAGGTAGTGTCTGGGACTAGGGTGGGGCCAGTGGAGTGGTGAGTAATGAATAGAATCTAAAGGGGACTCTCAGATCTGTGTGCTCTTTAACAGATTCCCGACCTTTCACCCTTGCCGTTGACACCAGCAAGAATTAAGTATGGGTCCACTGACTTCCAAGTGCTTCTAGCCAGCCCACTCTTGAAAACCTGTGTCATCCTCATGACCTACCAAAAAGGTAGCACTCGAGAAAAAATTGTAGCTAAAATATTTTTTTTTACCTTCCCATTAAGATGTATTTTAATTGGATTAAGCTTTATATCCTTTCTTTATTGCATTAGTTTACATAAAATGCTCAGTTTTTTATGTCATTTAAAAATTTTTATACCAAGATGCTCTGAAAATTTCTCATGTGATTCAATTTCTCACATATTATTAATTCTCTGAACCTTTCCACCCTACCATTTAGAGCTCATAACTTGGCAACAACAAAACCCTCGTATCTATAACCTTCTTTCTAAAGACTTCATGGTCTCACTGTAAGAGAAATCTGTCTACTAAGAACTCTACATCTTAGCAGCAGCATCTTTCATTCCTTCAGACTCAGACAGGGGTGCCACTCTGATACCTTTCTTGCTACTTCTTTTTTCTTTTTGGAGAGGTTTTTGCTAGAGGGTGCGTGAGTTTGCTAGAAAGACAGAGAGAAACAGAGAAACAGAAAGTGATAAATCACCTCCTAAGGGGATGGCCACACTGCAACTCCTTCTCCTCCCTTTTCTTGGGATCTTGGGCACACAAACACACGTGCCCAGCATGAGTTTAAGTCACTGGGTCCGGCACTTGAACCACGGTTGACTCCATGGGAGTCTAGTTACATAGCCATTACACCAACTGCCGGTACCTTTCTTGCTACTTCTTGACCTTAGTTCTCTAGCTTCAAGACTATTACATGATTTATCAGTATAATCCTCTGGCCTAACCCTCATTTAGTAAAATCATCATAGTCATATGCAACTCATGGCCTAATTTTGGTCGGCAGAGAATAAGCATACTGTTATGCCAACTAGTTCATTTAAACTTATTATCAAAGGGCATAATTAATTGCTTAGTAATTATTTTATTAATTTTTTAAAGGTTTTTGCCATAGGCCCTGTGAGCCTGCTGAAAAAGATAGAGAGAGACGATGAGAGGAAAAGTGAGAATTTACCCCTGGGAGTGTGTGCGTGTATGGGGTGGAGGGATGGCCATACTACAGTCCCTTTTCTTCCACTCTCCTCATGGGATTTCCTTAACCACCATGCCACCTGCTCCCTCCACTTGACTCACCTATCCCTTAGTAATTCTAATGGCGTTTTCTTGGTCAGATCATTCTCAGCTGAGTATGCATTAGAATAGTCTGGAGATTTCTAAACTACCTTTCCAGTATTTCTGATCCAGGAGTTCTAGAGTGAAGCCCAGATTTTTTATTTCTAGTAAGACTGCAGGTAATGCTGATGCTACTGGTCTATAGATCATAGCAGGAGGTCTATTGACTTAGTCAATTCCCTATCTTATTCTTTGAGATTATTATTTCATGACTTTCCTGCTTTTTTAAAATCAACATTCCATTTTCTTTTTTAAATTTAAATTTATTTTTATTATTATCATACATTCCATCATTGTATATCTCTATAGTGTGCAGTATAGTTTTTTAATATATACAAGTAATATATGACACTCAAGTCAAGGCTATTACCATATACATAATTTTCAGCAGAGAATTTTCTTTTTTCTGCTAAGTGTTTCTTCCCTTTGTGACATTGCCTTTCTATTCTGAATCTTGGCTTGCATTTTGCTTATTTAAACAAGACAAAAGTGATCAGAAGTGACTTCTGTGTGTCCACCTCCAACTGAGCAACTAACTTGCATTTGTACTTACTCCCTACCTTCCATTCTGTTGCAATGAATAATCTGTCCTTGCTTCTAAATCAAGCTCTTCACTTGGGTGCTGGCTTCCAACCTCTCTAACCTATCTAGTCAAGGACTTTTATCATTGTTTTCTGTTCCTCCTGCATTGTTTTTCCTCCTCATTGGATTGTCCTCATCAGAATAAAAATATCATGTACCAGTCTCATCTTAACAAAACTAAACTATAAAACCTTTACCCCACGTTGTCTCATAGCCATGATTACCATGATTTTTTTTAAAATTATTTTTTCTTTTATTTTTTTATGTTTAATCACTGTATACCTTTACAACATTGAAAATAAATTTCCCCAGCATATCCTGTATGTTAGTCCAATCAAAGAACTGGATCCACTTCCTTTCAAATTATTTGCCACTAAACACACTCCAGGCTTTCTGTCCCTACCATTCTTTAAAAGCTGGTCTCATCATGATCTTCAGTTCTCTCTTTTGTCAAATCCAGTGGCCATGGGACCAGCAGTTAGCGTAATGGCTATGTTGCTGGATTCTCATGTGGTCGACCGTGGTTCGCGTCCCGGACCCGGTGGCTTGAGGCTCACGCCGGGCACGTGTGTGTGAGTGCCCAGGATCCTGGAGGAGAATGGAGGAGAAGGGATTGCGGCGTGCGCATGACCCTC